ACAAATTTATAACACTGAATAACAAAAATTTAATCATATTATTTAGAGTAACACAACCTTTCACTTCGATGTTTTATGTATTAATCTAGTTAGTAAAATATTTTGCTTTTTTATAGCTGCTATTTTTTCTTTTTCTAAAAGTAGTTTTTCCTTATGATAGGCTTTCTTTTCCTCAAGCATATTTTGTAAATATAGTGTTTTTTGATGGTAATACTCCTTTTTCTGTTTATTTAATTCCATCAGAGTGTCATATTTTTTATTACTCTTCCTCCATTTTGTGTTCGGTGACAACTGTTTCAATGGGGTGACTTTTTTCTCTGCTTTTTTGAATGTTATCTCTGTAACTTCATCAGTTGTTTGTGCATTTTGTGAATCATTGTTATTTTCTATTCCAGTAATGTCTGTATTTTCTCTTTCTGCGCCTGCTGTAGAACTACTTCTACTTTGGGAATTAGCTGTTAATAATAGCTTAGGATAAATATTCTTTTTATTGCCAAATATATCAGTCATTTCGTCTAAGTACTCAAAATATTTTTTTCCTCTGCCTGTTTTTTTTTGATCGTCAATGAAATCTTTATATCTTCTCTCTAATACTTTCCATCTATTGGAGCAATTTGCTGACGAATATTCTAGATTATAATCGTCCCTCATGACATTGGAAATTTTGTCGAACATCATTTTTAGATTCCTCATTTCATACAAGCCCACTCGATTCCTATATTCTTTGTATAAATGAATTAATATTTTCGTAGCCTTTGGAGACCACTCTTTATAACTCTTTGTTTCATCAGAATGTTTCCTTTTCAATGGGGTACTCGCACTATCACTTATGCAGCTTTCTTCCACACTAACAGTTTCAGTTGCATTGTCATGATTGATAGTTTTGGCTTCACTGTCTTCTATTCTTATAAGCTGATTGTCGATAATAATAAACTTTGCTAAAAAACAGTATATTAAAATTTCAATGTGTTATAGCACATATTTTATTTATAGATAACATCTTCCATTAATAATTATTTACCAGTACATCTTTAATCCGTATAAAATAGATGTGACCTCATAGCTAATTAACTTACCCATATTTTATTAAAAATTTCAAGACTAATACGTCTCTTTTAATCAGTTTTTAAATAGAATATTTGATGTTTTATAATGTTAGATTATGATACATAACACATAACCACTAACCACACAATTTTCAAATAAATACCAGTACTGTCATATTTAATTTTCATAAATACCAATTGTCCTTGTTTTTTGTTCCAGCAGGTGCAAATTAGGGGAACAGTTTTAGAACGAGATTTTGTGCGACTGCGCAGCAGTTCATTTTTCTGTCTGAGAACAGTTCTGCTTTGCTGGAACAAAGCTATTTTTTGGACTAACGATCGTCAATGGTTCTGTTTACGTGGATTCTGTTTTCAGTTGGTTTTCAGTTTGGACTTGGCAGTCGCCATTAGTGTTTTCTCTAACTTTCTGTTTCCACGTGTACTGTGTTTCGTTTGTATTTTAATCTTTGTGCGTTTATTGACAATTTTGTGATTTAGTTTTAAAGACTTTGCTGTAGTTTTAATTAAATAGAACAATGGGAATGGGCTACTGCTTCTTGTGTGGTAGAAGCCAACTAACCAAATTAATAATAGAAATTTTTCTCGATGTTCGTTGTATCATGAAAGTAAAATCAGAAATGAAAGGGATGTTAATATAAGACAAAATATAACTAATTTAATTCAAAAATCAATAATTGTTAAAAGCATTATATTTAGTCTTGCTATTTGAAATAAAAAAGACATAATGTAAAGACTAAAAATAGAGACTACATAAGGCTAATTATAATGCTTACACAGTTACACACAAACTGTCTTATTGTAAATTATTATTGTTTTTTTTCATAATATAAAAGAGTATTTACAATGCAACAATGTAAAATAATTATATTTTTGTATCTGAAAAAGCTTGATTTATGTATATAAACTTAATATGTACATACTTTTAGTTATATTTGTTTAATAAAAAATATGTTAATAATAAAGAATTACTTTGTTTCATTTTAAACCAGGACTGATGTTGATTATTGATCATAAATACCATGGGCAAAAGAAACAATAGACAGTAAAATGTACTGTTATGCTTTGTTTGCTGCAATTTTTAAGTTGAGTGGAAAATAGATATGCAATTTGTACTACAAAAGTTTTAAAGACAGTTCCTTAATTGAGGTTTACTAAATTTTTGAATTTAAAAAAAAAATCGTACCTGTCACTTTTTCATTCGTTTTATTTAATAATAATTGTCTAACACAACAAAGTCTACTTAGAACATTATGATATAAATATAAATCAGTTCATTAAAAATGGTCTAATTAAAATTAGTACCTAAATAAGCAAAAATTATCCCCTCATAAAACAAGAAATTAAGGAGTTCAGTAAAAGTTGCAACTATATATTTTATTCAGTAAATTTTCATAATAGTAAGTATAAAGCACAATCTAAAACGACAATATGAATAATGTATATTAAAAGATTTAACTCGAGTTTTCAGTGAAAAACTATATTGATATTAAAAATATTTTAATACCTTCAGAATACTAATTACATACCATAAAATAGGAGTTTTACGATGCAGGAAGCCTAGAAAAAAATTTTAGAAATCAACAATGGGATTCTGTAAGCTCTGTAGCAAAAGAAATTTCTACTCGAGCCTATGCTATTGGTATCACGATTGATGAGTCATAGACAGGGAAATGTTTCAGAATCGCACAGATACCTATTACGCTACTAAGGCCCCCATTGTGAGACAGATACAAAATAATTTTATACCTATTCCATAGCCTATTCTTTTAAATGTCTAGCAATATTCATAATAAACTTATTTTAACGAGTAGAAGTATTACCAGCATCAAAATTAACACTACTTGTAAAAAAACTGTTGCTCATGAGTTGTAATAGATATAAACAAAATAAACATTCGAAAATAACTTCATCGAATCTGAAAACTTTTGGTCGAAAAAGTGTTTTGCCATAACATGTTGAATAATTCAAAATATCTCAATTGATAAATATGCGCATAATGTTACATTATCAAACTTATTTGATTACAGAATATTTAACAAAAGCTTCCAATTTTTCGAAAAGATTTAATTCAATTATTAGAACGTCTTTAACCTCAACTTAAAATAAAATAAAAAATAAAAACCAAAACAAAAACATATCATATGATTTGGAACTGTCCAATCAAAGTGCTTACAGATCGAGCAAGCGCAGAAAACCTCCTCCCGAACAAGGATAGACTATTGTAGGAAATGCATTGACATTCTATAGACATCCTTCAACATCGGGACAGGAATTTAAGCGGTACCCTCCATGATACAAAGAATACAAGGTATGATATTGCGCAGGTTGGTCACTACGTCACAGGTGATAAACGGCACCATTGGTCAGCAAGCTCCGCGCGCCAATTTCAAATTGTCAAACAGATGACATAATAAATGATGAATAAATGTGAAAATAATTTTTCAAATGTCAAGTTCGATGATTTGACATAACTTTGGAGTTATGTCCTAATTCTTCTCTATTTAGGTCTTTTTTTTATTAGTGGCAATTGAACAATATGGATATTTTTCTGTATGGCGTATGACGTCACAGGTGGTATGCGCAAACTTAACGAAATTGGAGCCGCTATCGATCATACCTTGTTTTCCACAGTTGTTTTCTTTGTACCATGGTGTTCTTATGGTGGGTTCATACAGCCAAATAAATAAAATAAGAATAAAATAAAATAAAATAAGAAAGTTGGTTATATGGGATACCGTACATGCGTTCATACAGCCAAATAAAATAACAAATAAAAGAAGAAGTCTTTATCTTTTAACTTCTTGTTTTATTTTAATAATGAAAACAACTGCGCACGCTTAATTCTAACCTACAAATATTTTCAGTTTAGTTTAATTTATTTTATAATTTCACATAAGTAAATGTATAATATAGTAGACAACGAATAAATAAATATACTATAAATAGTAAAATTACTATAAACAATCGTAAAGTTAACTTTTATCCAGCCTCATCGTACTGCGCATGAGCAAATATATTCTTATTTTTATTTTATTTGACTGTATGAACGCACACAAATAAGAATTCCTTATTTCTTATTTTATTTTATTCTTATTTTTTATTTTTATTTGGCTGTATGAACCCACCATTAATGCCATCCGTGGCTAATGTCATGTTGGTTATGTGTCATCATATGTTTGTGTCATCTGTCTGTGCATCTGTCAAAAATTCCTCCGCAGCATCAAATAATCAGGGCCATGTAAGTGAAATATTAAAAAATGGTTCACCAGCAAAGTTTCCCAATTATGACGGATGATGGCGCTGATCGTCAAGGAGAATTTTGGACAGAGGGATTTTGCTTGCAAACAATAAACGTGAGCTACGACCGGACCAGGACCAATCAGAATGATCAGTCTTTCTTGGACATTTGCCGTGGAAGTGTGTGTTAATTTCTGTTGTGATAAGTAATGGTTGTGTTGCAGTTTGATTTTCGGTTTTGATATTATGTTAAAAGGTAATTTTGAAGTATTGTATCACCTGTTTTATGTAGTACTTTTTTTAGTTCTATGATGATATGTTATGATTTAATGTTTGTTTAACAATGTTATACCAAAAGAGGTTATACTTAATATACTTATCAATTGCATAGCCTAACTTTTTATCAATAAACTTTGTAGATTTTCAGATTATTTAATTCCTTTTGTTTCCGTTGTAATTTTATTTTTAAGACATATTATGTGATTGTTTCATTATATGTTTCCATAAAATTACAAAATAGCAGACAAAAATAATTAAGATCATACCTTGTTTTCTTTGTACCATGGGTACCCTCCGTATATTTTATTAGAACGTATTTGCCTTAAAATAGCGGCAGGTTAATGCCATCCGTGGCTAATGTCATGTTGGTTATGTGTCATCATATGTTTGTGTCATCTGTCTGTGCATCTGTCAAAATTCCTCCGCAGCATTAAATAGTACCATCATTTCATTTCCATATTTTAAAATTTACTGGATAATCTGCAAATTTTTTCAGCTTAAATTACCTACTAAAACACGTACTTTTCAGGACAATTTTTGTTGTTTTAAAATTCTTGTGTCCGTAAAGTCGAACGCACCCCCCTGATATGTTTCTTATCTTAACCCCAAACCAGCAACTACCAGAGATTTATAACCAGAGATATAGGGGGGTACATTTTATTTCTAGAGACACAAAATAAATCCAAATTATATTAAAAAATTTCTTTTGCCTATATATCAAAACGGATAACGTTAAATTTTAAATAATGCATTTAATATTTCATTTATTATAAAAGCAAACCGTTTAGCCTATATGTTTTTTAGTACCAGTTCTTTATGATGTCCTATTACTTGGTAAATTGTTGTAACGCCTAGAGATGGTTTGTATTTTGGTTTGTATACTTGTATTTGAAATATTTTAATCAAAATTATATTTATCTAATAATTTTAGGGAAAATAATGGGAAGATCAACAACATTTACATTCTTGACTGTTAGCTAGATACTTAGATTATGTAACATGCTACCTAATTGATGTATACTATAATTTTAATTTAATACTTATAATGGATGAAATGCTATTTAGAAGTTCACAAAGGCTGGAGTCCATGCAGGTGGATTTATAACTACTTGTTTAATCAATGAAATGATGCATTTTTTATTGTCCAGGTACAAGCAGAAATTGTTGCTTCCAAGACAAAAGATCTTCTAGGAACATATTCTCTACAGAGTAAAGCATTATTGATGCAAACATGGAACAGCGGCAAAGTAGAACAGTTCAAAACAAACGTTCTTCAACTTATTAATTTTCTAGTAGAAACATCAAAGAACTTTAAAACTCAAATAATAAATATTGCTGATCCCAAACATATATGGATTCTTTTAACACAAAAAATAGGAGGAAAATGTAAGAATCAAGTTAATTTAAATCATCCATTTTTATTTACTGAATATGTATTTGATTAATGTATTCAAAATATATTATTTTTGTATACAAGCACTTTAATTGATCTAAAAATGGTTAGTGGGCATCTACCGAAATCAGGTAACTTACTTTTTCAAGGGACAACAAAAGAAACTACTTTAGCTTGTGCAGGATTCTTAGTGGGTAGCATAGTTGGGGTTGCAATTGGGCTAGCCATAAGAAAGAAGGAACCAATTATAAGATATATGCAAGCGATTTGGATTGAGCATTACCAAGGTCCAGAAAGTGTTACTGTTGTAGAAAATGCAGAAGCACCTTATGAATGTGGTGACTATGATGTACTAGTAAATGTTAAAGCTGGTTCTGTACAAATTATCGATTCCCAAATTTGTTGGGGATATGGCAAAACATTAAGATATATCTTGAGGAGGATACTTAAGGTAATGTATAATTGGGAGCCTCTATAATATTTATAAAATTAGTACTTGTAGGAGAAAGAGCTTCCAGTTATTCTAGGAAGGGATTGTACAGGGATCATAACAGATTTAGGAAAAAATGTAAAAAGATTAGATGTTGGAGATGAAGTATGGGTTACTGTGCCATTTTGGTCCAAAGGAACTTTGTGCCAAACAATTTTAGTGTCTGAAAACAGGGTGAGACAAAAATAAATGTGTATTTACAATGTCCAACAATAAATATTCTGTTAAAAGGTAGCCCGTAAACCAAAGAATGTGGGTTTTGAAGGTTCCTGCAGTATACCTTATGCTGGCAGTCTTGCCTTATCTGCACTGTCTGATGCTTCAATAGATTGCATTACTGTGAAATCAAAAAAGTAATATGCTGCATTTTTTTACCAATTTGATTTTATTTCCATTCATTAAAGGTTCCTTATACAAGGTGGATGTACACCGGTTGGGTGTATTTTGATTCAACTTTTGAAACATTGGAAAGCACATGTGGTGACAACATGTTATACCAGGGCTCTACCCATAGCTAAAGCTTTGGGGGCTCATGAAATAATAACTATAGATGACATAGGTAAACAGAGACAATGAGAAGTATGTAATTATGCATGATACTACATATGTGCACTTATTTTAGATGAAGAAAAAAATTACACTGTTGACAATCATGAACTATTCAAACAGTTAGAAGGGAGAGGTGAACTATTTGATGTCATTATAACAACACAGTGTATAGGGTAAGTAAGAGATCTTTTTTCCTAGAAAATATACTAAGATCTGTTTAATTAAAGGATATATGACCGTGGTAGTTGTCATATTGTTTTAATTCATAAATAAATTGTATTTTCTGTCATTTTTTGGATATTGTCCACTGTCTGTCAATGTTGCCTGACCTGTTAACAACCTTTTATACTTTTGTTTTCAGTTTGGATAATTTTAAACAGTTTTGCAAGGAAGATGGACAATTAATCTCAACTTTTCCAAAAACTCTTCCATCGGATGAATTTGGATTCCTGAATAAATCATTTTTGGCTCAGCATATTGAATTCAAATACTTAATAAAAGTATGTGTTTGTTCATACAGAAAAAAATACTTAAAAATATTATTTATTTTTCTAGGATATAATAGGATCATCCTTGGAGATCTATGATGAGGCTCATCTATGTTATTCCACACTAGATAAATTAACTGAATTAGTAGAGGATGGTATTCTACAAACTGTTGTAGACAGAGTCTTCCAACCAAAAGATATAGAACTAGCTTTAAATTACATACAGTCACCTGCTTCCATAGGAAGTACAGTGATAACATTCAGGTGAAACAAATATACAAAAGTACTATACGATCGAAAATACGGCGTTAGAGTTGTCTTGAAATGACCAATGGTGACGTTTTGTATTAAAATTGCTATGAGAGACTAAATCGCCCAGGTTCAACCAACGTTGCCAAATGTCACTGCACCAACTTTATATTAGCGGAACGAAGTATGCCTCTTCATAGTTTATTTGCAAAAGCAGCAGTGGCTCAGTTGGTGAGGCGTTTTGGAAGTCAGAGGTCTCGAGTTTGAGCCTTGACAGATATACAACTTTTTTATATTTTTTTAAAGTGTCGAGATTGAGAGGTTGGTCTAGTGATTTAATTGCGTTGGTTTCACTCTTTTTTGGATTAATTATTTGGTGGGGTTAGTAGCGTTAGTTATTCGGTGGAGTTGATTGCGTTGGTTAGGTTAGCTATTTGCTGGGGTTGGTTTGGTTTTTACTAATTTATATTTGTTTAGCGTTGTTAGCCGTAAATTGTTATGCGTGTTTTGATTACGTTGGTTTGTCTCTCGGGTAAGTTTTTATTTAAATTGCACGCGAAATACCCGACCGAGTAAAAGTGAACATTTGGCAACGTTGATCGAGTCTGGGCGATAAAACCTTTCGTAAAATTGCTGGGTGAATGTCATCAATGACATTTTCAAGGTAATTTGACGGCGTTGTTTTATCATGGTGTATGTGAACCTCTGGGTATAAGTAGTCTAAATTATTTAATAGAAATACCAATGAAAAAAAATTGTTTTTTTATCAATTTTTTACGGATCGAAATGTTGAGAAATCTATTTTGTTGACTGTTCGTGTAATTATTGTTGTTAAATTATGAAATGTATTATCTGGTTTTATATGTAATTTTTACTGCCGGGATATTTTATAAAATTTTAGAACAGAAAATAATATATAAATGTGACATATATTTACAAGATGTATTTAGTTTGATTTTTACCACACCACTACGCATATTATAAACAGGGGTTGCGCGTTTCCTTTTTTTTACCTTTTGGTGGAAAATACAAGGAAAAGGACCAATAAAAAGAATTGCATCTTCCTTAAACTTATGGAGAGTAGAAGCAATCGTAAATTTATCTATCTGTTTATTCCCTTCTAAAATTGTTGGCTTTTTCTTCCAAATGTAGAACCCTCAAAGAAAATTATAGTTGGAATATATTTGCCCTTGTACCCTCTTTGATGGATACTTTTCTATACATGGAGATAATTCGCCTTATCTCTACCCTCGATACTTACCGGCGCAAATTTTGCAAAATCGCGAGTTTTGACCGAAAGAGAAGTTAAAAGAAAAAGCCGATATTGGAGGTACTGGACTAAATTCTTTGGTTGGAGCAATTAGTAAAGAATACAAAATCACGTAACGCCCATATACGGACTGCAGCAGAATCTGTGACCTTAGACGACATTTTTTTCATCAGCGACAATTTTAGCGATTTTTAATAGTTGGTTGTGTATTCTTACTTTGCGTTGGAGACATTCAAGGTTACTTCGGGTGGAACTCTGTAACTAAATAGTGCTAAATAGCGATAGGTAGCGATGAAGAATAATGCCGCTTGTCATTTAGTTTCTACGGCCAAGGTCAGTATCCTTCATCGCTACTGATCGCTATTTAGTTACAGAGCTACACCCCCCTATCACTAAGACGATGCTAGGTGATATCACTCGGCGGAATCACACTTGAAACTCTTATTTTAAATATTACATATTGATACTGCAAGAACCCTTCGCTTTTTATTATTTACATATATTGTATCAATTTTCTTTGCCTTTTAATCCATATACAGCTGTTATTTTTTCTGGTTCACATACATATTTTATGTGTGCCACGTTCAGTTTTAACAGAAAAAAATAAGCTTAGGCTAAATTTTGTTAGAGCATAAATGTTTGGTGGTAATGGAGGTTAATGTTTAGGGGGAGCTGGAAGGCGAAATAAGAAAAACATTGTGCGCGTTCGGGGAACACAGCCGTTGACCGACTGCTGAGAATTCTGACCGTTGTATGTAAAGTAAAAATAGACACTTGTGTCTAGCCCTAGCAGGCAACTGTTAAGCCCGACCAATCACGTTAGAGTTTTTGACAAACACAAATGAATTAACACACTCCAAATAACCACGCTAACCAACCTGATTGGTCAAGCTTAATAGTTGACTGCTAGACACTTCTAGCAGTTGAACTAGACACTTCTAAAATAGACCGTTTAGGGAAGTCGCTTCTCAGCCACTCAGTCGCTGACCGTCCCTAAACGCGCACATTCTTTTGTAATTATATTTTTCCAAAAATAATCCTTTCCTAGTTACAAGATGGAAACAAATTATTGCTTATTGGTGTAGAACGGGTGCATAAATCGGCCAGTTGAGTTTAGGCGTCCCACATGCGGCATGCGTCACCCTCTTCCGCGCGTCTTCCTTGCCAGAAAGTACCGTATGATCGAAAAAAAACGGCGTCCAGTTGGCTTACGTTTCGATCATACGGTATTATTCATGTATTATTAACTTATCAGTACATTGAGGTGTCCAGTTGCAAAACCTGCCTTATCCATTTAAAAAAATGGCCTAATGACATACATTAATAGTGGACCCAAAAATCTACATAAACATAGTCCCAAATTGCAGCAAAAGTCGCCTATTCCTATATAAAATTCACTACAAATTACGTTACTACAGCAAAATCCGTCTTATCCACTTACATTTGCTCTTTATTTTATAGTCATTATTGTTGCAAATCCCACATTTTTTCATAGGCTTTTTACACAAGTACATATATAACGACTGGCGTCTTTTTATTACCGTAATTTTAATAAAATAGCATACCTAATAATTCGAAGTTAGGATGTAAATATCTTGCTGAGGCAAAATCCGCAAAACAAAACGATACAAAAAAAGTTTCCATTAAGTGGAATCATTGTTTTGTATCTCGTTTTTCTAGAAATGAAGATTAATATTTAATTAAAAAAAAACACGAAAATAATTCACATGAGGCGGATTTTGTTACAGTATATGCATCATATTGCAACAAAACTCGCTTTATCCGAATTCTATTTGTTTTTTCTCTTTAAAAATTAATAATTAATTTTTATTTCTACAAAAATCTACAAAACAACGATTCCACTTAATCGACACGTTTTTTGTAAAATAACGCTTCAAACATTTGCTAAAACAGTTTGTGCTTATTATCTCGAAACAACACTTTTGGGATAAGACCGGTTTTGCAATTTACCGCCTCAATCAAAATTCCACGGAAGAAAATTGAAAAATGTCACATTTTTATTATTTTCGACCTGAACATGGCTATGCGTAGGTTTTTAGTATATTTATATGCCGTATTCAAAAAGGACAAAAACGCGAAGCGTTACAATTTAAACTTCGCTTGAAAATATGCTCTACAAGGAAGAAACGCGAAGTTTGCATGTGTTATATTCATAGACTTAAAATAAAATATAGACTGAGCATCTCATTCATAAATAGCTGGAACATGCGGTCAGACACTGTCTTGTTATTGTTGTGTTATTGTTTTAGGTTATAACGAGTGCGACACGAGCGATAGATAGGTTGTCTCTGTCGTAACGGTCGTTCCCTGACGACTCTGCCGAGAAACACAACACTACAACACTGTCTTTCGTTTCTCAAGTACACCTGAACTCTCCGTATCATAGCCGGGTAATTTTTTTATTTTAATGAAGCTATAATTAAATTAAAAATATATCTTATTTAACTTTTTTTATATTTTATTAAGATTTAGGACAGGTTTTTTAAATAAAGTTTAGAAAAAACAATTTAGGTAAAAGGATAAAAATAATAAAATACACGTTATGAAGAAATTTATAATCGAAATTAAGGTAATTTTTGAAATTAATAATAAATTATTAATTTTAGTCAAACATTTACAACCCCTAATATTAATCAAAACAGGATCTATTCCACCAACGCAGATATAATAGAATCGGCGACAGGGAGAGAAAAAAAATATGATTGTTGTAATGTTTTTTCTGGTTAAGTGATGTCTTATTATGTAAATTAGAGAAAACATAAATCTGTTCCATTAAAGCAAGGAAGGTGATAGGAAGTGGATAAAATACAAACTACATTTATTTAACTCGGTACTGTCTTTATTATACCGGGTGCGTCTCAAAAGTGGCTCACCCCCCATAATTTTTTTATATTTTCAAATAAAAAAAACAAGATTGAGTATGTTAGTATATGAAATAAATTAGGATTGATTGACGCATTCAGTTGTTTTTGGTCACTTCCTGTTTCATCGGAAATGACTATAACTTTTTAATTTTTAAACGGCACCCGCGGTATATATATATTGACATTTTCGCATATGGTTTAATTGTAATTGTAACATGCGGTTCATAACGACAATTTGACTCGAAATACCAAGTGTGTGGTATCAATATATTCATAAAAAAATGCTTTTTCCAAATATGCTAATGAGTCACCCTTGTTCCATTTGAAAAAATTGACATATGTATCATTAAAAATACGATTTGTACATCTTTTAACCGGCCTAGACAAGACACGAAACCTATTAGACGATCAAAACTATTTTTCCAAAGCTCCTTGATTAAAACTTAGTGGACTGAAAAAAACTGGATTGAAATTTAAAATAGGATATGTTTTTAAGCGACAATGTCAAAAGTTGACATATGATGTCATTCTATTTAGAGTGTCATTTTTTATCGAATAAAGTAGCAATATACCGAGGGTGCCTTTAAAAATCAAAAGATGTAATCATTTCGGTGAAACAGGAAGAGACCAAAAACAATTGAATACGTCAATAAATCCTAATTAATGTCATATACCTACTAATATACAAATCTGTTTTTTTATCTGAAAAAATAAAAAAAGTTATAGGGTTGAGCCACTTTTGAGACGACCCGGTATATTAAAAAATATTGTTTCATAATGTAATATCATTTTAAAATTCTTGTATGTTATTTTAGATTCTGAAGATAATTTTAGAATTAAACCGGAATATATTTTTAATAAAGCATTATTAATTATTAACAGGGTTATAATTATGATTTTGTTACAATGTAAGTAAGTAAATAATGTAATGTAAGAGAAAAAATTCAGATTTTACATTTTACTAAAATATTATCTAAATAAGCGCCTTTCTACAACAACGCCACTTACTCCTAATGGGTATATTGAGAGTTGCCTACCGGTCGAAAGTTGTTTCAAGACTTAAATGGATTATTTAAGTCAAATTTCTTGCAAATTTGGCACTGACGAACCATATTTTATAGTTCTTGAACAGAAAAAGTCAATAAAATAAACAATTAAAGACTACAAGCTAAGAAAATGCGTTAATACAGCCGGGGATATAGCGGCAACAAAGCTTTACCGCACACGTGCGACGCGTACTACAAGGTAATAAATGAATGAATAGGCTCCCTCGCTTCTAATCGGTGTTGTCATATTGTAAAGAACTTATCCTTTTTAAACAGTATCCGACTTATAATTTAGTAGTATAAGGACTATTTATACATCTCTGGAATATTAAAACCTACTTTATTAAACTGTAGTATTAATATCTCAATATATGTGTATAACAAGAAAAAAAATATTGATAATATTAAAGACGTGACAACATAGGCTGGATGAGGAAGGCTCGGTCGACTGTACCCAGAAGTAAACATGTGTACAAAAAAGGTTGTTTGTCCGCGTTGAGATGTAAATAGTGTAGTCTATATTGTATTTTAAGTCTACGGTTATATTTGTTTAAAACCAAAAAAAAATTCACGTAGTTTTTCGTCAAAAGGAAGGATTTTTTATAGCGCCGGAAAAAAAAAATTAACGACCACCCTAGTATACAGGGTGGCGCACCCAAGAACGGTAAACTAATGGGATTGCTCATCCTCATCACAGATCCTCATAAGACACTCATAAGACGTACGTTCGCCTCTTCCCG